GGAGTGCACGCGCGCGAGCGTTGAATGGCGAAGCCACGAGACGCGAGAAACGAGGGCGGCCCCGTCTCGCGCCTTCAGTCACGCGCGTGGTCATTTGCGTGTCTCGGGAGTTTTGCTCGACGGACCAAGAAAAAAGAGAGACTGCTCGTAGTCTAGCTCATGGGTGACTGCAGCTTGGTTTCTACTAACACGCAATGGCCAGTTTAACTACCGTATGATTATATAGATAACCCAGTACCTTGTCTTGTCTGGTAGAGGTGGTGATGTATGTCCCTGCTGTGGTTTGAGTACCCTAGAGAAGCAAAAAAGGATTAAGTCAGCTTGTTAGGTAGCTTAAGAACACAGATGACATTTCACAACACCACTGCTTGTTTCTCAGTGAAATGACGTCTGAGAAACGAATGCAGAAATCCCATATTATTCTATACTGTACGTCACTACCATGGATTCTGCACTTGTTTCTCCGACATCTTTTCATGGGGAAACCAGCAGTGGCGTTGCAAAATGCCTGGGACCAGTTATCACTTACCCAGGGTTGAATTTTAACCCCGGTTCCTTTTTCTTTTTATCAAAAGCACTCTCTCGGATAATTTTCTCTATTCTTTTCAGAGTATCCAATCATCAAATTGTAGGCAAAGAGAATTTTAAAAATTTAAAAACGAAATTTGCTTTTTAAGCAATCATATCTGAGTTCAAATTTCACACTAACACTGGGCTATCTTAACCCAGCTTCCAACAACCCAGCCCAGCTGTTTTCTTAGGCTACTTACTAGGGACAGCAGTCAATAAAGCAGGGATCATTATAATGGGCTATTTCTGAATTACCTGAAGGCCCCCTTTCAACACAAGTATAACAGCAAAGTCTTTATTTGCATGCTAAATCTCACGCAAATAAAACTCGTTTTTACACTGGTTTGTATTTTGTCTTGTCATTCACTCTTGACAAGAGCTAACAGCAAAAATGATTCTTGGTGGAGAAAACTGAAGTTATGAGGCAAGGATGCACAATGCTTTAACATGGTACATACAGTGCAGCAAATAGATCTGTCATTTCCCTCAAGATCAAGGATTACAGAAACTAAAACACATTTTTCATTTCATCACTTGCAAGTAAAACGTTTAACCAACAAGCAAACTGACCTAATGTTCCAATTCTTCCTTTTCCTCTCTTCCCGAGGATCATGTTTTAACTTCACTTCTGTATTTTCAGTTTGTTGTACAGAACTTTCAGTAAAATAGGAGTTAAGGTTCAATGCTTGTACACTTTACAACACTTGCGCAATGGAAAAGAGTGGTTCCAGTTCTTCCAGTTCTTCAGTGCAAGAAGCCTTCCAACCATAAAAATTTTAATCTGAGCAGTTTGTTTTTTTTAAATAATAATAATATACCAGCATGCCAAAATTATTTATCTGAGCAGTGAAACTGCACCACAATTAAATGTAAATTAAAAATTTATAATGTAAAATTATCAATCTAACTATAACAGGCAAAAGCCTTCCTAAATAAGTAAGTCTTTATTGTTTGTTTAAAAACCAAAAAGTTATCGATGTCTTTGACACTCCAATGAACAGTAAATTTTGATACCCAACTCTAGCCTCTGTCACAGAGGTAATCGAGCCCCTGTTGGTACCATCTGTGAGGCAGATGGCAAGATCCTTGTACAGGGCCTCTTACATACTCAAAAATTACTGGAAGTGCATTTTGAATTTCCCTTCATGGACAACCTGACTGGTAAATTAATAATAAGTTTTTGAACAAGCCAATAATGGCACATACTCAAATCCTGGTACATGGCTGTAGGCCCAGGTAAACCCAACTCCAGTTTTAATTGATTTCACCTCATGATTCCCATTGATTACCCCAGATGACATGTTTACAGAATAAGAAGTATACTTAGTCTCAATACAGTTTAAACTGAAGGATACTGGTTGAACCCTTCTTGTCTCCGCTGGATTGCTCGTAGAGTGACAGCAGATAGCTTGGATTGGCCTACAGAACTCTGTCAATAAATCAATATTGAAGTACATTGTCAAGCCACAGGCATTTACTGCAATATCATAAATGACCTTCCCCCTCTTATCTATCTATTTAAAATTTTATTAGATGCCCCTCTCTAGTAAATGCTTGGACCCCCCAAAATTAAACAGCACATTCAATTCATTCAGGCTTTTATTTTCAGGTCATTTTCATCTTGTTCAATGTCAAGTTTAAAGTAAGGATGGACTAATGATGGCAACCAATAACCCACCATCCTTGTTGTAGTCCTGAATCTGTTTAATTGACAAACTGGATATTCAACTGGTTAATTTTGCTCAAAGTTGAACTTTTTACTTTAAATTTTTTTTTTTTTGGACCCCAAAAATTAAACAGAATGCCCAGTCGTTCATTAGGTCATTTACGGTATTAAACCTCTTATGTAGGTATCACGTGTTAAGTTCTGAATCAGTGTTTAAGTTGCTATCACCTGGTTAATCTCAAAGTCTTTGCTTTTATTTTATTTTATTTTTTTTTGGCAAAACACAACAGCCCAAAATATTGGGAAAGTGTTACTTAATATGCTCAGTTAAGATGTTTGTTTGCTATGTGGCTAGGATTTTGTCAAAAAAGACTTGCTCAATTTAAGATGTAAAGCCAACAAAATCAGGTGAATAAATAACTAACCTGACCCAACTGTTACTGTATATTGTAGCAGTTAAGTATCCCTTACCCTGGTGGGTCTTTTAGCTTGCTTCACTCTTGCCAGACTTCTTGACTGAGCAATGTAAGACATTCTCTCTTTCACAGGAATACTAAAGAACACATCATGAAGGCTACACCTGGCAATCTTGAGCTAAAAAGAAAAGAAAATACAGTGTTGAACCTCTACATGCAACTAACTCTAGTAAGAGGGTACCTGGACTTGTAATTCGGAGCCACCGAGTTCAAATACTATCCTGACGGCTAGCTGGATTTGTTCTCCTGCAGTAGTCCAGAGTTCAAATCCTTGGCCATGCTAGTTAAATAGCCAACTGGTTCACCTCCTACCAGTTGGGGTTTTTAATCATGTTATGTTCCCTTTAAATTATTTTTGGTTTCATTATCCCTTAAGAGCTCCATAAGGGGAGAGGATAATTTAAGTATTATTACTATTATTATCATTATTATTATTATACCATTTTTGTGAAGCACGATTATGGTTTTTTGTTTGCATGAAATTACTTTGCACAGGGTTATAGGAGACCCTCAAGTAGAAAAATAAACTCTAATAAGCCATCCCCTACCCAAAATATAAAATCAGTCTAGCCAGTCAAAGGACTGTTAAACTGAAACCTTGCATAAGTGACCGCCAAACACTCTTGGCATTTTGCATGGTTACTAATAAAAAGTTTAACTGCAGTATTATAATATGGCTTTTTTTATGCAAAGGATCAAGTCATTTTAATATGAAGGTTATACTGGCTCATAGTTTACTTACGTGACCCTCCACATTTTGTTTCAACATTTTTTCCTGCATGGACTGTGCATCCTCTTTTGATATGTCTGCCAGCACATCCTTGGTATCCTGGCATTGAAAAGTAATTTTTTCATTGCTGCATTTTATAGCAAAAGAGTATCTTAAAAACAGATTGTCTTGACTTAAGACTTGACATGAGACCAGCCAATCGCAAGTCTAACACTCTGACCAGCTATGCTATGCTGCCTTTTTACTCTCTTTGATCCCAAAAATATAAAGGGCTCATTCACAATGCAAGGGCCCTAAACTGGTCTGATTTTAAAACCATCAGCCCAGACCAGATTACATCTTTTGATCACTATCCACTGGACCTACTATCCCTAACTTTGACAAACAGTGAACACTGACTGCAAGCATGACATTTAACCTGTACATACTTAGCAAGGTGTTGTATTATACGCCTGGCAGAGCAGGTATCAGAATATTAATCCAGTCTGATATTTTAGACTTTCAAAACAGCAGGTCTAGTTCATTGTCCATTAACAACGTTACCAAAGGCTCAGGGTTATCAAAAAAAAAATAAAGAAGGAGGAGAAAAAGTTAGGGTTTGGAAGTAAATTAATGGGAAGGCAAAAATTGCCCACTGCCCCCCTTCAAATAGCTGTCTGGGAACCTCTCCAGGGAAAATTATAATTTTGGGGCCCTGAAAAGTGAATTTCAGTGCATTATGAAGGAGCAGGAGAAGAAATTTAGCTGCTACATGACCCTATAACATAAGTGATATTTATTGACTGTTTTTCATCCAATGATGTGCTGAGAAACAATATTATTAATACAACAGATTTATTAACCTCCTTAAAATACATTATTTTCTGCGTGTAGCCAGTGTTTCCATAACAACTAGATGGCAATTCAACACTTATCAGGGCTTCAGAAGAACCCTGTGGTATGCTAGTCCACAACACAAAAACAGTGGTCAGAATGAAGGTTATAATATTAATATTGGTAACTAATCAACATCAGTGAACATGTGAATCTATTACCTTGATGGTCTGTATAAGGCCTTGTACTTTGGCTGTTTTCATCAAACACCTGGTCAAAAATCCCTTTGCATGCGCAGATAGTTTAGCAAACTTGTCTCTTCCATTGCTCTCAAAAAACTGCAACAAAATTTGAAACAAGACCCTCAATAACATTCTGTTATGACCTTGTAAGATTTTTGAAACATCATCTAAGTTTATAAAACGGTTGAAAAAAAACAAAGATGGTAAATTGGCACAGTTAACAACCCAAAGCAACATTGGAAGTACAACACACTGCAAAAATAATGCAAACATCATGTATAAGAAAAAACTACCGGAGTTTAAAATTGACATACATGCACAAGTCAACATTTAAAGTGTGTAAACTTAAATATTTATGTTTATTATTAAGATGATTTGGCATGGTGTCACATAAACAACCACATGCATTTCCAGGTCTACATGCCACAAGCTTTAAAATCATGCACTGTCATTAGCTTTAATAATCTTAAGATAATGGAAGGGGGACTGATTGCATGCCTGCTTTTAACATGAAAAGTTAAGAAAAATGCTGGGATGTCTAACACAAAGTTAGCCTTAGAAAACAGCTGACATTTGGCGATGCTACCACTGGATTCCCCGCCAAATGACGTCTGAGAAATGAGCGCAGAAATTCCATACAGATAACACATCACTCCCAAGGTCTGGGTAGTTCTTCTGATTGGTTGAATCAAATTTCCCACACTGTACGATCAATCAGAAGTACTCCCCAGATCTGGATATTGACAACTCATCAGTATGGAATTTCTGCGCTCGTTTCGCAGATGTCATTTGACAGTGGTAGTGTCGCCAAATGTCAGCTGTTTTTCTCAGGCTAACACTAAGTTACCTTGAGATTTCCTTTTGACGCTGCAGAACTTTTATGGCTGTAATTCCTCTTTGAGAAGCCTGTGTGTATGTTTTCCTTATCATTCATTACAGTCTGCACATTTCTGGCAGGACGTTCAGAAATTAAAGTTTCTCTTAACCTTGCCACACTTGACTCTATGTGAACAACATGGTTCTCTTTATCAGAGGAAGACTCTGGTTCAGTGTGATGGTCTTGTGCATCAAGGTCAAGATTTTCTCCACTGAGCTCAAGTATGGAGTACATTTCACCCGGCGGCATTGAAAGAGGTCTACGGAGAGGTGAAGACCTGTCAGTCACATGGGGACAATTTGAATCCAGAGATTCTTTGAGGTCTGAAGTCCTTGTTGATGGCAATGAAGTAGACCTTGGTCTCCCAGATGCACGTGTAGGAGTACTGCTTTGAAAAGTTGAGTAATTTTGGTCTAACTCTAATGAATGTTCTCTCTGTTGTTTACGAAGTCTCTGTAGCTCTTGTTGCTTCAGAACATCCATGTGCTTTTGCTTCTCTTCAAGCAACTTTTGCCTCAGCTTTTCCAAATTTATTAGTGTTTCATCCTGATCAGAGAGTGTGGGTCTTTGTGACGACCCAGAAGTCTCAGATATTTGTTTACCACCTTTTTGTTTGGAGGATAAAGGTTTTATGAGTTTCTTAGGATTTTTTGATTGGGTAGTAGTTGGCTGTTGTTTATGGCTAACATAATATTGGACAGTTCCTGATTTTCTGTTAATCTCCTGTTTGGCTAGAGAATGAGGCTGTAATTCTACAACAGAACGCACAGTTGAGTTGCTTGAATCTGCAACGAATTATATAAATAAGCAACTTTAAGTACACAAAACAATCACAAATCTGGTGTGGGTACAAAAAGAATATGTTCACATTAATGTGATTATCAAAGCAAGTATCATACATTGACACCGTGGGAACACACTTATGAACATGGCCTAAGAGTTCTGGTTTATAAAAAGATCAATTCTGAAAACTCTATTACCAACAAGATCATTCCCTCACCTGAAAAAGCCAAAGACAGGGAAGTAGATGCAAGAGAATCATATTCCGGTCCATTCCTCTCTGGCTGAAATGACGCTGATTTATTTCTCAAAGTTGAATCCAAAGGAATGTCTGAGAACATTTCATCAGCAGCAACAGACAGTTGTGAAAAAGGTCTCTTAATTTTGGAAATCTCATTATCCATTGTGGAGCTAAGAGGAATATCCATGCGGTCAAATCCCAATGGTACAGTTTGAATTTTCTCCCTGGAATCTGCTTTTCTTACAAACTGGTGTTCTAATAATCCACTTTCACCAGAGCTCATGAGCATTGACTCAGGCATATACCCCATCTGGCTTAACACTCTTCTTGATCGGTCAGTTTTATTTTCAGAACTTCTCCCATAACTTGAAACATCCAAAGCAAATGGATGCAGTTCATGTGTTACAGGTTGTGAATGATTTTGCTGCAATGTTCTGTTAGTACCTGCCATGTCGGCAATTTCATTAATAACTGTTCTCTCTAAAATACTCTCGGTATCATCATTCATTTCAGTTAACAATTTTGCCTCTCTTTGTCCCTGTGGAATTAAAACAAAATACAAGTGTTAGCAGTACACTGGTGCTAAGAAAAATAACAAAACAGAATTCCTTCTGCGGTTCCATTAAAAACAACAGAAAGAAATACCAGACACATCCAACAGATTAGAGGTAAGAAAGTTGGAATATTATTGTCAAACTCAGAAAACCGCGAACGGTTGAAAAATTTCGGGAATGTTTATTGTGTAGTGACCAATCATAATGAAGTTCGGGACAATTTTTCATTGCGAGCAAACCTCAAAACCACAAACTAACTACTGTTGCTGTTTGCAGTTTAGGTTTTTTCAAGCCTTATTGGCTTTCTTCACAACACAATAACATTCCATGAATATTTCTGGTGTTCACAGTCTTGTGAGTTTCACAGTAAGTCAATTCAATGTTCATGTTTTTATTAACTGCATTGTGAAGCTAAATGATTCTTTAGACCAACAAAAGTCAAAGGGCATGAAACCCACCACAGTGATATAGCCAAAGTCTGCAGACATAGGTTAAAAAATGATTTTGGCTAGGAGATTAAAGCTTAAAAAAGCCAAACTGCTATCTTTCTTGGCACTGTACCTGAATCCTGTCCATTACAGACATGACTTGTAAGATAAGGTCAGAGTACTTTTCTCTCCTTCTGTCAAAAAGCTTGGTTTCACACCTCACTGCCCGTCTTCTGTACTCACGCATCTCAGCTCTCTCTTCTTCTGTCAGCTACAACAAACATAACTATAAATTATTTTACATATCAGCTATTTCAAAATCATTATTGGGCTACCTTCTACCAAAAATATCAGATCTTAATTTCTAGAGCAAGGTAGAAAGCTAAAACTCTTTTCGCAGAGTATAGACACTGGTTTATGGATACTTAATTTTTTTTTCTGAAGATAGCATGCATGGCAGAGTACTTTTGCAATTACTGAATTTTTGGAGGTGCATGCAACATCTCAAGGCCTAATACCTGGATACCGAAGTGAAAGAGGTGAATTATAAAAAAATAAAAGTAAAATATAATAATATTGCATGCAAATGTTTAAATCTTACTTTAACTTTAGCTGATGAAACACCTGTCTAGGTAAGCACAGCTTGGCACATGACCACTAAACACAGGTTGCCAAATTGGTGACATTTGCTGCAATATTATAGTTGCCGAATTTTTTATCTTCTTGCCAAGGTGATCAAAATGGTCACAGCTTGGAGTAATGAATAAGTTGAGACACTTTGCCCTCAAGAAGAAGAAAAAAAGGGGCTCTCCCCTTTCATCCCCTGGGATGGGTCCAGATTGTTTTGTTCTCCAAAATATACCTCATTTAATGACATATCTCAACATTTTTGTGAACAGTTGTAGCTCTGCCATGCTTGTAAACAGCCTGGAACAGAGGTCTCCACCTGCTAGTTGCGATTCACCTAGTCTACTATCCTTGAGCTGTATTATTTTTTAGTAAAATCCAACTAGTGGTCTATTATCAATGCTGCTTTCTGATTGGTTGAGCTACTACTAGGTTATATGATATAGCCCACTAGCAGCGAAAAGCGCCAGCTTTTTGGCAGCAAAGTCAAGCTTTAAGTAGCTAAAGTTGTTTTGTCTCGATATTTTTTACCAACTAGTTGGATTTTACTAAAACAATTATTTCTTTTGACCTCATGCCCTCTGAGGGCCTTCGGCCTCATGGGCTATTGACTCAGAGCCCATTCGGGCTCGAGGAATAATTGTTAAATATACCAAATTGCAATAGCAATGTCACAACAAAAAAGTCAAAACAACAAATAGCAATTGGCTTTATGGCACTCAGTAGCACAAGTCAACAGCTTCTTAACTCTGATACTAAGGTCAGTTTCATTAACCAACCATCAGTTACCCCTGGTGGAACATATCTGCCTAATTTTGCATTTTTCCATGACCATATTATTGTGATCAGATGCACATTATTATGACTTTTACTCATGTTTACCAACTGCAAAATAATGGTAGACAGCAAAACATTTGCATCATAATCATAGAAAAAAAACAAATGCTGGTCACTATGGTAATTTATTGTTAGTGAAGATAATTATAAAAGTGCTTTCAACGGGACAAATACCATTTTACTGCTAAACAAAAATTAACACACAATCATCCAATTTATTAAGACAAAGGGACTAATGGCTGAATGTTACACAGAATAATTAGTTTCCTGCCTTTTCAGGGTAGGCATTCTTGAGCTGCAGATTTTGCAGGTTTATTAAATTTCATGAAAGCCATAGCCATGCCGTAAATCACGCGCCAACATCAACTTCTAATGAAGAGGAAAGACGCCAACAGCGTTTACATGAACTTCGTTACTAAAGTGAAATTGTACAGATATTTATAGCACGAACTTAAAAGGAGGAGCTGGAATACAAAGGTTTTTCTCAATTCGTTGAAAATGCAAACCTGTGCGAAAATACTACAAATACACCAACAAGTCATACGTATTTGCACAAAAGTGGCAATGACGCCAAAAAATTGTGTCAACACAATTCATCTTAAGCTTAAACTGGCTTCGTTAAGACCTCTTTGCACCGAAAGTAAACATTCTAGTTATACTTTTAATAAAGCAGATCATACCAAAGGTGGAGGAAGTTGCATTCCGTTTATTCCCAATATCGTTGTGTAAGATTTCGCCGAGGTAAAAGCGTTGTTTGCAAAGCATTTTTCTTCCTCACAGCTTGTTTGCTCAAACAGATCACGCAAACAAGCTGGCATCTCTTCCAAATAACGCTCCTGAAATTTCAAAGAAATGCATTTTCGTTAATCCAACTAACTTATATATTGCTGGCAAGTGCAAAGAATGTCAATCTCTCGGGAGAATGCGATTATAAAAAGTTTAAAAAGCGACCATTACCGTCAAGTCTTCTTCCCGCGCCATTTTTGAAACTCCACTGTGCCAGAGCTGATGAAAGAGATCTGGTATCGAGTAAGACGGTATACACAAAAAAATCCACTAAGAATATTTTCATGTAACGTGTAACTATGTGTCACTCAACATAACTATCCATCACTACCCATCAGCACCTATCACTGTCCATCACTACACATCACTACATATCACTACTTTCTTTCTTTTAAAATTTGTTGTAGTTGAAAAACCTTTATTGTAACTATACGGATGCCTCCCTTTGCAGAGTAAGGCGCAATAAAGATATGCTATACTACCCATCATTACACATCACTATCCATCATTACCCATCACTACACATCACTACCCATCACTATCCATCACTACACATCACCACCCATAATTACACATCACTAACCATCACTATCACTCACTACCCCCTTTATTGTAACTAGACCTCCCTTTTAACATGGTTCGAGTTATCGAGGGTAAAATTATATAGAAAATGACCTAAGGGGAAAGAAAAATTGGTTCGAGTTAGCAGGAGTTCAAATTATCCAGGGCTCTCCCCCCTTGGGCGGAGCACCTAGTCCCCAGGGCTCTCCCCCCTTGGGCGGAGCACTTAGTCCCCAGGGCTCTCCCCCCTTGGGCGGAGCACTTAGTCCCCAGGGCTCTCCCCTTGGGCGGAGCACCTAGTCCCCAGGCTCTCCCCTTGCACCTAGTCCCCAGGGCTCTCCCCCTGGGCGGAGCACCTAGTCCCCAGGGCTCTCCCCCTCCCCTTGGCGGAGCACCTAGTCCCCAGGGCTAGTCCCCCAGGGGCGGAGCACCTAGTCCCCAGGGCTCTCCCCCCACCTGTCCCCAGGGCTCTCCCCCCTTGAGCACTTAGTCCCCAGGGCTCTCCCCCTCTGGGCGGAGCACCTAGTCCCCAGGGCTCTCCCCCTTCCCCAGGGCTCTCCCCCCTTAGGCGGAGCACCTAGTCCCCAGGGCTCTCCCCCCTTGGGCGGAGCACTTAGTCCCCAGGGCTCTCCCCCCTTGGGCGGAGCACCTAGTCCCCAGGGCTCTCCCCCCTTGGGCGGAGCACCTAGTCCCCAGGGCTCTCCCCCCTTGGGCGGAGCACCTAGTCCCCAGGGCTCTCCCCCTTAGGCGGAGCACCTAGTCCCCAGGGCTCTCCCCCTTGGGCGGAGCACCTAGTCCCCAGGGCTCTCCCCTTGGGCGGAGCACCTAGTCCCCCCTTGGGCGGAGCAGGGCTCTCCCCCCCTTGGGCGGAGCACCTAGTCCCCAGGGCTCTCCCCCGGAGCACCTAGTCCCCAGGGCTCTCCCCCTTGGAGCACACCTTAGTCCCCAGGGCTCTCCCCCCCCCTGGGCGGAGCACCTAGTCCCCAGGGCTCTCCCCCTTGGGCGGAGCACCTAGTAGTCCCCCCTTGGGCTCTCCCCTCTCCCCTTGGGCGGAGCACCTAGTCCCCAGGGCTCTCCCCTTGGGCGGAGCACCTTAGTCCCCAGGGCTCTCCCCCCTCTCCCCCCTGGAGCACCTAGTCCCCAGGGCTCTCCCCCCTTGGGCGGAGCACCTAGTCCCCAGGGCTCTCCCCTTGGGCGGAGCACCTAGTCCCCAGGGCTCTCCCCTTGGGCGGAGCACCTAGTCCCCAGGGCTCTCCCCCCCTTGGGCGGAGCACCTAGTCCCCAGGGCTCTCCCCCTTGGGCGGAGCACCTAGTCCCCAGGGCTCTCCCCTCCCCGGGGCCTAGTCCCCAGGGCTCTCCCCCTTGGGCGGAGCACCTAGTCCCCAGGGCTCTCCCCCCCTTGGGCGGAGCACTTAGTCCCCAGGGCTCTCCCCTTGGGCGGAGCACCTAGTCCCCAGGGCTCTCCCCTTGGGCGGAGCACCTAGTCCCCAGGGCTCTCCCCTTGGGCGGAGCACCTAGTCCCCAGGGCTCTCCCCCCCTTGGGCGGTCCCCAGGGCTCTCCCCCTTGGGCGGAGCACCTAGTCCCCAGGGCTCTCCCCTTGGGCGGAGCACCTAGTCCCCAGGGCTCTCCCCCCTTGGGCGGAGCACCTAGTCCCCAGGGCTCTCCCCTTGGGCGGAGCACCTTAGTCCCCAGGGCTCTCCCCCCCGGAGCACCTTCCCCAGGGCGGAGCACCTAGTCCCCAGGGCTCTCCCCCCTTGGGCGGAGCACCTCTCCCCTAGTCCCCCCCAGGGCTCTCCCCTTGGGCGGAGCACCTAGTCCCCAGGGCTCTCCCCTTGGGCGGAGCACCTAGTCCCCAGGGCTCTCCCCTTGGGCGGAGCACCTAGTCCCCAGGGCTCTCCCCCCTTGGGCCCCCCCAGGGCTCTCCCCTTGGGCGGAGCACCTAGTCCCCCCTTGGGAGCACACCTAGTCCCCAGGCTCCCCAGGGCCCCCCTTGGCGGAGCACCCCTAGTCCCCAGGGCTCTCCCCCCCTTGGGCGGAGCACCTAGTCCCCAGGGCTCTCCCCTTGGGCGGAGCACCTAGTCCCCAGGGCTCTCCCCCCCTTGGGCGGAGCGCCTAGTCCCCAGGGCTCTCCCCCCTTGGGCGGAGCACCTAGTCCCCAGGGCTCTCCCCCCTTGGGCGGAGCACCTAGTCCCCAGGGCTCTCCCCCCTTGGGCGGAGCACCTAGTCCCCAGGGCTCTCCCCCCTTGGGCGGAGCACCTAGTCCCCAGGGCTCTCCCCCCTTGGGCGGAGCACCTAGTCCCCAGGGCTCTCCCCCCTTGGGCGGAGCACCTAGTCCCCAGGGCTCTCCCCCCTTGGGCGGAGCACCTAGTCCCCAGGGCTCTCCCCCCTTGGGCGGAGTCCCCCCAGGGCTCTCCCCCTGGGCGGAGCACTTAGTCCCCAGGGCTCTCCCCCCCCTTGGGCGGAGCACTTAGTCCCCAGGGCTCTCCCCCTTGGGCGGAGCACCTTAGTCCCCAGGGCTCTCCCCCTTGGGCGGAGCACTTAGTCCCCAGGGCTCTCCCCCTTGGGCGGAGCACTTAGTCCCCAGGGCTCTCCCCTTGGGCGGAGCACTTAGTCCCCAGGGCTCTCCCCCCCTCTCCCCTTGGGCGGAGCACTTAGTCCCCAGGGCTCTCCCCCTTGGGCGGAGCCCCACTTAGTCCCCAGGGCTCTCCCCCCCCCTTGGGCGGAGCACTTAGTCCCCAGGGCTCTCCCCTTGGGCGGAGCACTTAGTCCCCAGGGCTCTCCCCCCTTGGGCGGAGCACTGGGCGGAGCACTTAGTCCCCAGGGCTCTCCCCTTGGGCGGAGCACTTAGTCCCCAGGGCTCTCCCCTTGGGCGGAGCACTTAGTCCCCAGGGCTCTCCCCCCTTGGGCGGAGCACTTAGTCCCCAGGGCTCTCCCCCCTTGGGCGGAGCACTTAGTCCCCAGGGCTCTCCCCCCTTGGGCGGAGCACTTAGTCCCCAGGGCTCTCCCCCCCTGGGCGGAGCACTTAGTCCCCAGGGCTCTTCCCCCATTGGGGGCTCTCCCCCCTTGGGCGGAGCACTTAGTCCCCAGGGCTCTCCCCCCTTGGGCGGAGCACTTAGTCCCCAGGGCTCTCCCCTTGGGCGGAGCACTTAGTCCCCAGGGCTCTCCCCCCCTTGGGCGGAGCACTTAGTCCCCAGGGGGCTCTCCCCTTGGGCGGAGCACTTAGTCCCCAGGGCTCTCCCCCTTGGGCGGAGCACTTAGTCCCCAGGGCTCTCCCCCCTTGGGCGGAGCACTTAGTCCCCAGGGCTCTCCCCTTGGGCGGAGCACTTAGTCCCCAGGGCTCTCCCCCTTGGGCGGAGCACTTAGTCCCCCCCCCAGGGCTCTCTCCCCTTGGGCGGAGCACTTAGTCCCCAGGGCTCTCCCCCCTTGGGCGGAGCACTTAGTCCCCAGGGCTCTCCCCCCTTGGGCGGAGCACTTAGTCCCCAGGGCTCTCCCCCCTTGGGCGGAGCACTTAGTCCCCAGGGCTCTCCCCCCTTGGGCGGAGCACTTAGTCCCCAGGGCTCTCCCCCCTTGGGCGGAGCACTTAGTCCCCAGGGCTAGAAGAGTATAGATAAACTTACCTTGATACTTACCTTTTTCACTTACCTTTTGTGCTGTGTTGAGTTTTTATAATATTTGGTCCGAGGCGGTCTTTTGACTACTTTTTTGTTGTTGGTTTACGCTGAGGAATTTAGCTCTTGGTAAGGTTCCGTTTTGTCTACGAAACTGTATTTGCCTACTTAATTCAAAAGCGTAAACTTCTTTCAGAATGTTCTATTTTGGGGGGTGAGTACTGAATTTGCTTAATTTATAACTAAATACAACATGTTGTCTTGGTGTATATACCAAACCAGATTTGTCAGAGTGACGAAAAAATTCACAACAGAATTATTGGAAAGAAGGATGCAACGAGAAAAGAAATATAACTTAATGGTTGAGCCTTGAGACCTTTTTAAGAATAATGACCGAGCGCGTACTTTTCCATAGTTTTAGGACCAGCAGGTTATTATTATGGTCACTGAATTGAAACAGTAGGTTATTATTTCTAATAATGATCTTCTGTTCCACCTCGACGACCTGTTCTTAAAATTTGCCTAAAATAACAACCTGTTGAAAACAGTGGAAAATTGCATGAAGACCCGACTAACCGACTGTGTTTAGCAAAAAATGAACTTACCATAGGTTTGGTATATACTGAATAAATGACAGACTCACAAATGCGTTGGCTGCATATCCTTTTTAAGGATCGTGGCAGTACTTTTATTGTTATTTTGAACGCCTTTTTGGAAGGCAAATTGTTCTTCTTTACTTTATGGTGAGGCAGAACCTGTTAAAAAATGGAAAGCATTATTTGTTGTTGTAGATACCACGGTAGTAACGTGTTAAGAATTGCACTCCGAATTAACCTTCTTTTCTTGTTTACCTGGTTTCTCG